GGCTGTCAGTGCTTCTCCTGCCAAATACTGCCTCAATTGCAACAGCTTGTACTGAGGCGTAACGGGTGCACTATCTACACATGCCATGAAAGCTTCTCGGAATGACTCAAACGTACGTTTGTCACCGCTGAATATTGGTATGCCAACTCGTTGTAGCTGCTTCCACAGCTCTGCACGAGCCTAGTTTTGTTGCATTTGAGGTAGCCCTGTTGCATACATTTGATTTCCAATATTGGATGGTGTTGCATAACCCTTGGATGTTGCATGTACCCGGAAGACATCTGTGGTTGGTCGGTATGCCCATATACATTAGTACCTGTAGAAGCCATTGGCATTGTGCTCATAGACGGTGCCTGACACTGGATACATGACTGGGGCGCTGCCATTGACACTGCCACTGGAGGCTTTCTGAAAGAGTGTGGATTAGCCTGTGTACCAACACTGTACTTAGTATTCACTGCAGTATTCACAATATGCGTACTGGTTTAGAATACAGAATTGCTTGGAAGAACATTGCTACTGCCAGTACTGCCCAAGGGTAATGTAGGACCAGTAACCTTAGAACTACTACTAGATGTACTGCCTGAGGTAGTTGTGTTTGCAGTAGCAGGCCTAACAAGAACACTCACACCATCATTGACACTTACTGTGGTACATGTAGTGGCACTTGTCATGGTCACTGTTGCGGAACCATCTGTATACTGGCCAATGTTGGACTGGACAGCGCTGCGCTGGTGACCTCTGTAGTCTGGGATGGTACCACCAGTACCATGTGTACCAGTAGCTGTTGAAATAATTGAATGCCCTGTTACTGCTGTGCGGTCATCCGTGTCAAAACGTACTTGGTGATCAGTTGCATTGTTTGCATCTCCGCTGGCGGACCTGTTCACGTCTCGTTGTTGTAGCGATCTGGCCGGCTGTGACTCAAACCCAAGCCGTGGTCCTGCGGACAGTTCATTGCTGTAAACATGTCCTGGCCACCAGCCGCCGACTTCCCTGGCTTCATCGCGGCACTGTTGATGCGAATTACCGGTACGCTTCACCGGAAGCTGAAAGAAGCGTACTACAGTACAAAATTTCAGCTTGCGACTTGTGATGTAAAACAAACCTGGCGAATCATCAACCAGTTGACGAGGAAACAAAGAAAATCGGCACCACTTCAGTGCTCAGCTGAGGCAATTCGAAGTGCTTTCGCCAAGATCGTGGAAGATCCCAGCCGCTCAGTTCATCTTCACCTACCCCAAGGGCCACGAACGGCACCTAGTTTTGTGGAATTTGTTCCTGTATCTATTGCAAAAGTCCGGAAGCTTCTAGAGCAACAGAATCCGACGAAGGCAGATGGCAGTGACGGCATCCTTGCAGCCCTTCTTCGAGCTCCTGCAGATGTTCTTGCGCCGTCATTGGCCCTACTGTTCAACAAATCCATGAGGGAGGGACATTTCCCAGCTCCTATGAAGGTGGCCAGCATTTCACCTCTGTTTAAAGGTGGTGATCCCAGCATAGCAAAGAATCACAGACCCGTGTCTCTAATGTCGATAGTTTCAATGCTTTGGAACGAGTCTTCTATGATCAGCTCACCCAGTACTTGTGCCGACATGATCTATTTCCACCAACTCAGTTCGGCTATCGTTCACATAATCCCACATGTGATGCCCTTGTATTAGCTGTTGAAGGCATATGCCAAGCCCAGACAAAAAAGTTCTTCACGCGGAGTGCTTTCTTGGATATGTCAAAAGCATTTGATAAGTTGAAGCACCAAACCCTTATTCAGGACCTATTCGAGGTCGGAATTGGTGGAACGGTGCTGCAATGGCTTGCAGACTACCTCTCAGATCGGACACAGTATGTCAAATCGGTCAGGTACAGAGCTCACCATACACTAGCTTCTCCGGACTACCATAGGGGTCAGTTCTCGGGCCCCTGTTGTTTGTTCTCTACGTCCGTGACATTGCGAAAGAGCTGTCCACTTACAACGTTGTGACCCTGAAGTTTGCGGACGATATCTCAATTAGATCCAGCAGCAAGAGCACGGGTGAGGTGTCCCAAAATCTCTCAAGTGCTGTCCAGCACCTCGCCAATTGGCTTAGGAACCGCGGTCTCATCTTGAATGAAACGAAGACCCAGATCATGTCGATATCGCCAGTACGATCTCAAACATTTGACTTGCAAGTGCAATGTAATGGACTGCCTCTGACAACTGTTCGCTCTGCGAAATATTTAGGTCTCCACTTTGATGCGGACACGGTTGGAACACCATGGTCGACCACGTCGCACGGGGCGTCGCGTCGAATGTTGGCGTGCTCAGAGGATACGCTACGTTCCTGCCTTTTCTATGTCGCATAACCTATTTTCGTTCTTTCATTTTATCACACTTTATGTATGCCGCTTCTGCTTACTTACCATTTCTCACGCCGTATCAAAGTAGACGGCTTAATGGGCTCTTCAAGGGTGCTGTACGCACAGTGTGTCGGGTACCTCCCGGGATAATCCACAAGCAATACCCTTACATGCATGACCATCCAAACATTGACCACATACGCCAACATGCACCTTCTGGTTTTAATCTGGCGTTGTCTCCATGACTCCTCTAACATCAGCACGTGGTTCGCTAACTTTTTCAGCCGCAGTAATTCCACTCAAACTCGTGGTGGGCACAGCAATTTACTGATTGTCCCAGCCAGCCCAACTGCATATCTTGCCAGACAGGTTACCTATGCTGGGACCATCTTATGGAACCAGCTCCCCGCTGCGGTCAGGCAAGAAAGAAAACGCAATCGCTTTAAGTCAATGGCTCTTGCCTTTTTGCTTACCAGATAAATAAGCGTTTTTACAAATGCTGTATGCACTGCTCTTTACGTTATTTTCCCCCTATGCAAGTCGCAACTCCTGTTTGAGTTGTTTTTGTTCTCCTTTTTCTTTCCCTACTAGTTGCTGTTACACTCACTGATCCTTATGCACAGATATACAGCATTCCCTCACTAGTGGGACCATTAACCCTTTAAGAGCCACAGGAAAATTTCAAAATTCTGCATTTTTTCGTGTTCCTTGGATCATAGCTCCAGTTCTACTCACTCAATCCTCATAATCTAGGGCTTCCTGGAAAGGTCTCCGCGAGAGGAAGAGAATGAGGTCGATCATGATAGCCAGCACACCGTCTATCCAGCGCTAGATCGCAGCGACAGTACGAAAAATGCCCCAAATGCGTCCAATTGCGTCCCGCTCCAGATATTTCATTTTACTCGATCGTGGAGTTCCTATTTTTTCGCTGTGTACTCTTGACAATATCAACAGTGAAACCCATGCAAATTCGAGTACATCAGCGTGACGAAAAGTCTCAAAATTCTCAATACTAAAGTCGCACTGCGCGCTTTTGAAATTGCCGCGATCGCGGCTCAACTTACGAGTGATTTATCTCAGGAACCGTTGCTCGCAGCGCCTCGCGGATTGTTGCTCCCGACAGGTGAGAGTTTTCTCTTCGCCCTGGATATTTCGATCACTGGATTTGAGCGAGATTGGACTGAGTTACGATCTTTTGAAGTTTTGCATTTGAATGCGTCGTTTACGACGCATTCAAGTATGGGGCGGCTCTTAAAGGGTTAATATTAGTCTAGGGCCTGCTTTGGACTTCCCACTCTAAATAGAGAATACAAACAAACAAACAATTCTCAATGGTGTTCTCTCTATCACCCTGTGATATAACACAGGGCTCTTCTCGGTTGAGAGGGTGTGGTATTTCCAAGCTACTAATGCAATCTATTATAGACAGGCCGTTTGGTTCAAATTAGTGGAGACGAAATTCCTTTCAATCCCGACCGTGTATGTTTAACTGCCTCATAAAAACGCTCATTCTATACAATTGCGTATTACGGACTCTGTCCACATTGCTCAAAGACAAACTGGACAAATGGCAATGGAGGAGGCTACCCGTACTCCTGAAGATAGTCTGCTGTAACGCATCACAAATAACAACTTATACTCAAAAACAAAACAATCTCCAGTTAGCGCCACATTCTGGCGACCCAGGCAGTTGTGGTTTGGCGATGTAGTGCGAGAGGGTCCCGCATCCGCCTCGATCAAAGCACTATAGCTATCCATCAACTCAAGCGACATAAAACAAACTGTAAGCATCACCCATTGCGGTGGATATATACAATTCGGGATTATCTTAAGAGAGCGGATCTCTCTGTGGAGAGCGCTCTCCATGCCGCAGGAGATAGACTAACTTGGCTAGACACCGTTGACAGATGCGTCTACTATGCACCTGTATAACAAGTTCAGGGATGATTCAAGCTGGGTGTTATAATTTATTAAGATTGATTGCTTTACACTGATAGGAAACTTCACTTCTCTACTAAAAAACAGTCTCTTCACTGCGATTCAAAATGAAATTAAGATTAACATTACACATGCTTCATAATCTCATCATTTGTTTATCCGTTCTTCGTCTTTTAGCGTGGGAACTTGGATAATCCACTTTAGAAGGCAGCAATGCATGTGCATTCGGGCGAAGTAAAATGAATTATACCAACCAACCAATCTTTCATTATTACAGGGTGCGACAGAGCTCTCGGCCATTGAAGAAAATGTTGAGTCACCTCCACCACCATACTGCGCTCTTTAGCCGACTAGACCCTCCTGTACACAACCACCACTATCGCGAGGACACTTCCGTAGACGATATTGATAAACTCCTTCAGACAGCTGTTTCGCTAATACATAGCTCATCCAATCTTTCGTTGTAACTTAACGCTTTATGCCCGTTGGCAATCATCGCACAATCAAAATTGGATGTAGAGCCAAGATCCGATAGTATAATCGGATCTCGGCAATAAGTGCATTTCTGTTACACCGAACTTCGGCTATAAAGAACAGAATATACTGCATAATTGGGTACGTTGTATGGGGAGTGTGCTTTTCATGTACGTGTTTAATAAACATCAGTCTGTTTTCAGAACATTCGTTGTAGTTTCAGTTCTTGTGCATTGATTCGCTCTGTGCAGCGACATGGAAAGACTGTGCTCAAACCAACACCAGTACTTGGCAAGTCGATTGGACTTTTCAATTGGACGGTAAAACCTGGAAAGACGCCAACAAATCCTGTCGGTCACTTGGCGGATCACTGGCTACTGTTCAGACAATTGCTCATCTGCAGTGCGCCAACTCTACAGTCATGGGAACGTCCGCTACGTGGGTAGGCCTGACTGGTACATGGAGCCCCGGGAACTGGAGTGCTTGGAAATGGGAAGCTGCATTGTCGACCGTTACGGCACAACTTCCATGGGCATCAACATTTCCAGCGATTCGGGATGATTACATATACGGATACTATCAGCCAGAAATTTCCAGATTACGGACGTGGGACAATAACCATACACTTGGGTACCTCTGTCAACGATATGTGCCTAAAAGTAGGTGTATGGCCTTTGAATGAACGGACATTGTAGTCACATAGTTTTTGAACCTATACAGTCAGTCTGTTGTGCATGTCTATTTTCGGCAATGAGCCATCAGTATTGAGGTTAAAACAGGTGGACCTAAACCATGCAACCCAAAGTGTAATGAATTCTTCATGTAATGAAGTCGGCTCCAGTGGAGCTTGGCAACATTAACTCTTTCCATGCCATGGATGCGTTTACCGTTTTTTTTAGTATGAGCCGATTGGCCATGGACGCGGTTACGCGTTCTGCCTACAATTTACAGTACATACTTACTGCGGGTTATAGACGAGTGTACAAACCGTCATAACTCCTCAGGGGCGTCACGCACGGTTCGAACACTACCACTATGGTCGTATCACTTTTCGTCCAGGATGGTCCACCCAATTCATCCAAAAATGCAATAAAAAATACAAGGATCTTCGGACTTGTACAAAACATCGAAAAATACTTTCATCACAAGGAGCTTACAGACTTGATGCCTAGCACTAGCAGCTAGCTATTGCTCAAGACTCCAGGCGGCTATCCATTACGATAGGCCGTTGGAGTCACGGGTAGAGACAACCAGACGATGGATTCCTCACGGACGCATTCACTGCAAACTTGATGGAAACAGAGCTGAGCTGGCGGCGATCACTGGGTCCAGAACTAACATTTTCCAAGATCCACAATGTTACAATGGCGATCAGCACGGTCAAGAGACACTACATGTATGTCACTTGTAAGCTACAACAAGTTACATAATAATTATTATTACTTGTATATAATTTCCACAACAACACCTACCTGTATTACCTCTGGCTACTGACGATCTACTGCAAGCTGATGCGAAACTGCATTACACCCGCGACGGCATAGGCATAGGGAAGCGCTTCATTCTCCGACGTTGAAACGTGTTTGGAGTCGGCGACTCAACTTTGGACTGCTGCTCCACGGCGGCAGAATATTCTGCAGCTGTTCACCGACACTACCCACTTCGTCAACCCATTTACGATTGGATTGGATTGGATTTTTATGTATAGTGGCGACTATAACAGACAATTGCCTAATAACAATAGACCCACTCGAGGGAAAGATGCAAAAAGATATGAATAATAGACTACCGGTACTGGTACTGGATAGGTGATTATGTTCGCATTTTGCATAGCTGAAAGTCATAAGTAGTGGCGTTCCTACGGATGCGGAAAACCCGGCTTCCAGCCGAGTCTCACGCGAACCGTGATTTTTTTTTTTTTAATTAAAGTCATAAGTACTAGCGTGAAAAAGCAAGGCATTGGGGTAACAGTTTCTTAAAACGGGCGGAGTTATCAACACAGCGAGCTAGAGGGTGTAAATCATTCCACAGCTTGGAAGGAAGCGCCATGACGGGCAAAAGCAGTTCGGACATTGGGCAACTTAAGTGTGCGTGATACCAGGCTGCGCGTTGCAAGACCATTATTTAAACGCTCGAACATTGGACTTAATGTGACACTACAGCGGCCTTCCAAAAAGCGCCACGTCAGATGCAGCATTTTCTTGCAATACATGCATGCCAAACGATCTAGACCAAGTCTCGCAAATAAAGGGCTTGATGGGCTACAAAAACCAGTATCGTACACTGAACGCAAAGCTCGCTTTAGCATTTGATCGTTTCGTTCTCAGAGTTTTCTGGTAGCAGCAACAAGAATTGCGTCCGCGACGAAAGGACGAAAGTCTGTCGCAAACTAAAGTCTTGTCGCTACGTAGACAGAGAAGATTCCGCAAGCCCTTTCATCTGCTTCCAGTGTTGTAGCTCTCCGGTCCACTGGCAGATCTTTCAATCCCGCCGAACAAAAAAGAGGATCTTCTTCTCTCTCTCAAAAACAAGTAAAAGTACTTTGTACATAGTGCATGCGACGCGGTGCACTTTTGCAGAACATGACAAACGTTTTTGCACAGCGGTTTGCGCTTGAACGCGCAGCAGGCTTTTACTTCAGATTTTGGCGTACGACGATAGCTCTTTGACATGTGCTGTCCCTGCCGGTTGGGTCAAGAATGAAATCTGTCAATCCTCATCGAGATTGCAACACGACATCGACGCTGTGCGCAAGATGAAAGGTCCTCGTGGTGATCGGGGATTGGGATGGCTTAGTGGAGGTGGCATGCCGCTGAACTCTGTAGGGAGAAATGGTGACTTCTACCTCGATGCAGCCACGCTGATCGTGTACAAGAAAATCAGCTCGAAATGGATGGCTTTCGGTCGGCTTCGTGGACCAAGAGGTGAAGCTGGTCCACGTGGGGAACGTGGATTGATCGGTCCTGAAGGTGAGACTGGACCTAGAGGAGGCGATGGACAAGGTGGTGAACGCGGTCAAAAAGGCGATCAAGGAATACCTGGTCCAGAAGGTCCCAGAGGTGAAGTTGGACCACGTGGAGAACGTGGATTAGTTGGTCCTGAAGGTGAGATTGGGCCTAGAGGAGAAGATGGACAAGACGGCTCACAAGGTGAACGTGGTGTTCAAGGTGATCAAGGAACCACAGGTCCCGTCGGTCCCCAAGGAACCATCGGTGCAACCGGTCCTCCAGGAAACAGAGGTCCCGTGGGCCCCCAAGGAATCGTCGGCCCCATAGGTCCTCCAGGAGCCAGAGGTCCCGTGGGTCCGCAATCAAATCAGAACCTATCCGATCCGTTTCATCTACTACCTCTCATTCGGAGAAACGCCTACCTCTACATATACTCTCATCCTAGCAGATTTGAAACCGTCACCAGGGTGAGCAGAAACAGATACAGAGGGGGAAATATCGTTGACATGAAGGACAAGAGAATCAACGTGAACAGCATCGACATGTTCCGAGACGATCACTTCTACCTCAACATTACACAACCCAGCCAAGTTTCCATTAGAGAACGATTCGTCAATCTGTTTCACGACAACATGTCTTTTGCAATGTTCCAAGTAATTCAAGTGGACGCACCTGACCCTAGAAACATGTCATTGAAGGCATTCGATATCGATACTGTCGGAAATTTCAGCTTGGATAGTTTGTACGTGTTGTTCACTGCCACCCACATAAGCGGCAACTACTTCACGCGTCCCGGCCATTCATCATTCAACATACCCGTTTCGTCTGTAGTCAGCCAATTATCGGCGGCTTTGGATAAACCTGTGTCGAGTATGACGGATCTCTTGGGTACAAAGTGTGTCATAAGTTACGCTCGGAATTCAGAAGGCCTATTCACTCTATACGTAAACTCCATTTTGATACATTCCAACTTAGACACTGTCCCATTTTCCAGGACCAATGGAATCGAAGATTGCAATTATAGCATTGGTGGTACTCAATTCTTCAACGGCACTTCATCAAAGTTGTTCTGTCATTTGCACTTTGCAGAGAGTTTATCTTCTCACACAGTCCAGCGCATCCACACAGAACTCATGGCACACTACGATATATGAAAGTGCTACTTTGATTGTACATAATATATAGCACACATGCTACACTACATTCTTGAGATGAAAATGAAAAATAAAACCTATCTATAGTGAGTGTCATCACAACACCAGAATGTCTGTGATATTGACAGTGGCGAACAACACGTCGGGCGTGAGCAGGGGATTGCACAAACCGAACTTTACTCTAAATGTGAAGGAGCTCGATACGCGTGATAAAGTCCTGCATGTTGAATCGGCTCAGTTTGAAGTACACTTTGAGAACATAGACGAGGCAACGAACAAACTCTATGTGGTACATGGTGTAGAAGAAGAAGAAGAAGAGGATAGACTTTCCATCAAGACGGGAACATACAGCGATGTAGACGATTTGGTGTCTATTATCAATACCACTCTGAAACGAGCAGGACACGGAGACATTGTGTTTTCCTACTCTCGTCACACCAGCCGCATAAGTGTCTCGGTACCCAGGAATAAACGGTGCTTGTTGAAGAAGGACTCACCCGCATTGGTGCTGGGTGTGGGCACTATTCTCAAGCCATACACGATCGAGGGATCTCACACGTTCCCGTTCGCTGTGGATCTGACGAAAGGCAGAAGACTTGTCCTGCTCTACACCGACCTCATTGGACCTGCTGTGGAGTACGAAGACAATACTGATTCGAGGGTGCTGAAGACTTTTCTTATTCAAACCCTCAACGGTTTGAATAACTACGTGTTCGGGAAAGAAGACAAACGACTGCTGATTCCACACGAAAACGTGACTAGCATTTCGTTCTGGTTGAAATTCAACACCGGTGAACACATTACTTCCGGATATCCCGTCTACCTTGATCTTCGGATCACCAACACGACTTAGATGGATCTTCCAGATGTTCGTGTCCGTCACGTGCGTGACATGGTGGAGGATATAGCAAAACGAAAGAAATTGGAGAGCGAAAAGGTGCGTTGCCGGGAGAAGTACGTGATTTACAACACTGCAATCTTGTCCTTTCTCATACTCATTCAAACCATTCTCAATATCCTTCAAGGGAGTGGTGTTGTATCTGGAGAACATCGCATTCGAATCATCGCCATCAGTAGCACGATTATCGGTGTGATCATGGCATGCATTGGTAAACACGTTCTCGACACCAAACGTCAGCTTGTCAAGTGTATTGAACAACTGCAGCAGATGGAGAGAGCTGAAGACTCGTTCATGTTGGAATTGGGCATTACTCTTGAAGATGGGAAGCTCACTAACGAGGAGCATCAACGATTGATATCGATGATGAACGACTTTCGCAAGACACTGGATATTGGATCTTTGAAAAAAATTCACCCCTATTATAATGTGACTCGCAAGAATGGCACAGGAGATATACTCACCACAAGCTCCGGAGTCCTTCACGGGACTCCTGACCAACACGAAGATCGTTCAGAAGAACATCCTCGACAGGACGGAGAAGAAACTCTCGTTGCTTGAGGGTAGACGCGGAGTAGGACTCTTTTCCACAGCAGATCGATCACCACCATCCCTGAACAATGAACTAGACATCTCGTCGCCGAATTTCATTGCTCTGGGGGAGAGCTATTTCATCGTGAAAATGCGCTATAGTGTCAAAAACAATCTCAATAACCAGCCTGGAGACTACACGCGATGGGTGTGCACCACGTCACCAGCCTTTTCATGGTTCAAGAACATTCGAGTGGAGATCAACGGAACAGAGGTCACGCAATCGAGTAAAGTTGCCGACATGCAAATGGTTCAGCACATCCTCAGTCTAATGGAGAGCAGCAGCGAACGCCTTCAGTACGTGGACTCGGATCTCTACGGTCTACAGAAACTGGATCCGCAAAGAGCATTGAGAGGTGTGGATTTAACGCCCTATCAACTTGGTGTGAAGCGTAAGCATGGCTATGCCTTCGAAACAAACGCTGCAAACGCTAATGCAGCACAAGCACCGGATTTCGCCGATGATTTCACACTCAGGCGTGCACCCACCGTCGAGCTTGTCACCAACGAAGGCTTCTCCAACACGGTTCAGGAAAATGCACTTCGTGCAGCTGTTGGACGGTTTCAGTACAAGCTGAGACCCTTCCTACCGTTTTTCAATCAGGACGATGCTTGGTTACCCCCGGGTACACAGGTGAAGCTTCGCTTTGATCTGCCACAATCCGAGCTTTCCAGATACATCATGCTTAGCGATCAAGGCGGTGGTGTCAACAGTGCTCTGAGCGTCGGTGATATTGAGATCGATCTACTCCAATTGGACTTTGTGTACACTACCTATCGCATGGAACCCAATCTCACCGATCGTGTACGCCTTCCCAAACAACTCTATTTCCACACGTGGTGCCCTCGTCTCATACAAAAGAGCATTTCAGATGATGCTGGTACACTGGAACTGCTTCACAATGCGGACATTCCACGCAGGATGATCCTGTTCTTCACAGATTTGACTCATGGTACACAGCCAGCATTGGCTGGAGGTCAAGCATCGCATTCTTCGAACAGACTGGCCATGATTCATGCAAATCTCAGTCAACTTCGTGTCACTGTCAACGACCAGACGCTCTTTGACAACCCGCTCAAGTTCCAGTGGGATGTGAGTCGTAATACTGAAGGGCAATACTTCTACGATTACAACAAATCCTCCTACCTGCGTGGCTACAATCTGGTTCAAGACTTTTTCGGCAAGACGTATGGAACGCAAATCCCCATCACCGCTGCAGATTACTGCAATCACTACTTTATGGTGCCTATCAACTTGAATCTGGATCGGACCACAGACAATCCAAGATCGAGAGGAAATCTGTCCATCGACTATCAATTTAGCGACGTGACAAACGCCCCCGTGAGGAGACCTAGCGAAAATGGCGCCTCGATCAAAGTCAACCTTCTCTGCATGGACAAGTACTTGTACACCATGAGCAAAGATGAAGGTATCAAAGCCGAAGTTGTATGAATTAATTCCGACCTAGTAGTAAAAGGGCATCATGGAAGGTGGTGACCTGGAGACCAGACATCGTGTCTACGGTGGTGATTTGAAAACATCGAGTCGACAACACGGTGGATTCTTCTGGAAAAAGAGCTTCTGGAAAAACCTAATCGGTGCTGGACCGGATGAGATGGAAAAGCAGATGGCGGAACCCACGACAAAACAAGATGCAATGCAACGCGGTGGACTTGGACCCCTGGCTGCCATGGCAGGAATGACACTTCTTCCCATGCTTTTGGGGAGAGGTGAGTCCGGAGACATTGTGGAAACGCAAATGAAAACAGCTTACAACCCTGCCATGCACCGAGGAGGTCTAGCCATTCCACCAGGATTAGCCGCCAAGGCCATACCACTCCTGACGAATCTGGCTGCTCCCTTGGCCATGGGTACCATGGCATCACTGGGTGACAACGTAATGGATAAAATATTCGGCAGAGGAGTAAGGAAGGGAAGCTCAGCAGGTGCCATGAAGCGCACTAAAAGTCGTCGTCGTCGGCATGCACCGAAGAAGATTCGTCAACGAGCATCTCGAAAAACCAAGAAACCAGCTCGTCAAGTTCGCTCCAAAGGCCGCAGGGCACGAGGAATAAAGAAACAAGGAAGGGTATTGTTCAAAAAACTAGGACATCGTGCCCTCGACGAAGCTTCATCGTTCCTGTCTGCACCTCGTAGATCCCTAACCCGTCCTGAAACTCCATTTGCTCAAAAAATTCGACAGAACATTAACAGTGCAGGACCGTCTTCTATGAGTTCCGCTCACATCGGTCCATCCTACAACATCTGATCATGGACTTTATCTCGCTCCTTGGACAGGAAATCGGGAGGAAGAAAAAGACTAGTCCCGTAAGGAATGACGATGTTCCGACCACGGCCACTGCTCGACACGGGCTGCACATTCCTGGTCTTCAGTTCGAGTCTAAGGATTGGTTCACGGAAATCATTCCTGCTCTGAAATCCTGGGGTCAAAACGTATTGTTTCTGGGACAGAGCAACATGGGTAAATCCTACTTTCTCATCAAGCTCCTGAAACGCGTGCAACCTGAGCGTATAGTTGTCATCTCCAACACGCCGGCCGATCAGTATCGTCTCCCAAGCCTCAAATCCTTCAAGCATTACAGCACCATGCCCGAGTGTATCGAAGACATGGATCTCCAGCCTAACACCTATGTGATCATTGATGACATCAGAGTGATGGGTTTGAAGCACGGCAGTCAAAGAGAGTGTCTCTACAAGTTCTTCACCATGTACAGTCATCATCATAAGTTGAACGTGTTCTTTCTCTCTCAGAGCTTTGATAACATTAAAGACATGAAGATCAATGCAAACTTTATGTATCTATTTCGCTTCACTGATAAAAGCAATATCAAGCGTTATCTCAATACTCTGTTTGGTGGTCTGTGCACGAAGTCATCCATTATCTTTAGATTGTATGAGAAGTTATTGGCGGTGTGTCGCAGACCTATCCTAACCATTGATTGCTCTTCTAATCAGTACTACACGTATTGCGAAGACACTGCATTAAAGGTGACTTTTGAATAAAAACCTCGTTGATGTGTGTGTGTGTGTGTGTGTGTGTACGATATTAGTCGAAGAGTTAACCGAAAAGTTAGCCGAAAAGTTAGCCGAAAAGTTAGCCGAAAAGTTAGCCGAAAAGTTAGCCGAAAAGTTAGCCGAAAAGTTAGCCACAACATTGAAAAAAATTCCAATCATGAATAAGAATGGAGCATCTTACGGTGAAATTCTCAAATGGGCTACCGAGTAGTATACAAAGAGTGGGACTCAGAAAGGGATCCTTCTCGATACCCAAGCGTAAAAGGTTGCAAACCTTGCAGTTTATGACGAAACATCCTCAACACATCATTAAGAAGAGAGCAAATTCGTGGGAAGTTCTCGGTATACCACCACTCATGCGGCAAAAAGGAGGTAATAACTACAATGCATACTTGAAAAGCGTTAAGAAAGTTCTTTCCCAAGTACCAGATCACAGTTTGAGCACCTCCACCCTGTTGGAACTGCAAGCCGATCCGCGAGTAAAGCGTCTATATGACACCCACTTCAAAAACAATCCCGATCACATCAGTTACCCGTCTGTGAGAAATGTGATTGCATCCAACATACTCAACTATGATTCCACTACCGATCAAGTTCGCGATTCCGTTTCAGATGTCAGGAAGAAGAGAAAGGCACCTTTAACATCGGTGCCTTTCAATCTACTACAAGATCATGAATTTGACCGATGGATCCTGCAAATCCTGGACAGTTTCCTCCGGCATACAAATATACCGGTAACCTTTTTGAAGAGCAACTATTTCACAAGCCGATCACAACTGCTGCAACTCTACGATGAAGATCGACTGAGGTTCAGGAGTCGGGTGGAAGCGGCTGCGGATGCCCTGAAGACGCAGACGATGAACGACTACACTACTCTGGTCAACGAGACGAATCGCATCTACATGTCCAGGTACCCGTTTGCAGCCATAGCAGGTGCCATGGGAATCAACAAACACGTCGATGGGTTCCTTCGATCAGAACGAAAGATTCAGGAACTAACCACCCTTGTGATAGCTATACCGGGATCACAGCTCAAGTTTCAAGATCTCAACGATATGACTTCCACCTATGGTAGAACAACAGAAGCAAAATTGATCCATCCCGAGCATTTCATGATCAGAGCACAAAAGGTGATGGTGGACGATGCATCATTCATTCAACAGGTGCTGAAGGACAAAAGCAGGATCACTCGTATCATCAAGGATATCCTGAGCGGACGCTCCATGTGATCACGTGCCAAATATTTTCAGGCTATGATCAAGAATGGACTATCCTCTCAGCAGTGCCGATATCAAAGGAAGATTGAATGGTGTCGGAGGGTTCGTGGGCTGCACGAGTTACGACCTCTTGCCACCCTTGAACAATGGAGACTTTTGTATCGTCAACACCGACAACGTTCTACCGGTGTACGATGCAACGGAAGGCGGACATCATTGGTTGACCGTGTGTCGCGAGCAAAACGTGATCCTGGTTTTTGACAGTTTCGGACGCAGTCTATACACTATGGAGCAAGATTACACTGAACCTGCACTGTGCGATTTCTTTAAAGAAGCCTACGCAGACTGTAAGATCATCACCAACACCCAAGCCGTTCAAGACAGAAGCACAGCAGTATGTGGATGGTATGCCATATTGATGGGAAAGCTATTTTCCAAATATGGTCTGGATGAAGCACTTCGAATTTTCCGAAGAGTCTTTGATGATGACGAAAAGCTGGAAAACGATCAACTGGTTCTCAGTTCAGGTGCCCTGGAAGGTGCTGGAGCCTTTTGGGACAACAAAGTGCAAAAGGCAATTCAGGATGGAAGACGGAAGAAGAAGACAGAACCCGCACAGTTCCATACGAAACTGGCTAACGAATTGCACAAGCCCAGACGAGTGCATTTCAAAAGACGCAAGGTGAAGAGCAGAGCAATTGACCATATATGGAGTGCAGATCTCGTGGATATGCAACGGTTTGCCCGAAGCAATAAGAACATCAAATTCCTGCTAACAGTCATCGACTTATACAGCCGCTATGCCTGGGCAATGCCTTTGAAATCGAAGACGGGTACCGCCGTGAGAGATGCGTTCGATAAGATTGTCAGTACATCCGGAAGGACACCGCTAAAACTCTGGGTAGACGAAGGCAAGGAATTCTACAATGCCCCCATGAAACGATGGTTATCACAACACAACGTCATCATGTACAGCACCCATAACGAGGGTAAAGCGGTGGTGGTCGAGCGCTTCAATAGAACGTTGAAGGCAAGAATGTGGCGTCACTTTACAGAGAAATCCACGAACACGTACCTCAATGTCCTACCTCATCTACTAGACCGCTACAACCAGTCAAAGCATAGAAGCATTGGGATGACACCTCACGAAGCATCGAACGGTAGAATACCAAAAGATGCAGATCAACAAGACCCCCTGCAGTCAAAACCCAAGTTCAAAGTGGGTGACGAGGTGCGCCTAACCGTATCTAAGCGTCATTTCGAGAAGGGCTACACTGCGAACTGGACGGAGGAAGTATTCGAGGTGGATGAAATCCTATCAACATCACCACACACCTACAGGATTCGTGATCTGATGGGAGAACACATCATCGGATCGTTTTACGAAGCAGAACTGCAACACGCCAGAGAGACCGGTTTGAGATTCGACAAGGTGTTAAAATACAACAAGGATCAACGTCTTGTGCAATGGAAAGGCTACACAGATAATAAATTCAATACCTGGCTCACAAAGAAGGATGTGAACAGTCTTCGGTCATGATTCACAATGTCATTCATATTGAAAAATAAAAAATAAATGATTGAGTGCTATGTACAAGCTGATGGCGTTCATGAGAATTATCGCATGAGTATGAGGGGTATACTGCTGGACACTTTCACGAGTGCGTTAGCACGACGAAAAATATAAGGGATACGGTATGTACAGAGTACGAATGGTATAATCCAGTTATCCCATGTACTATTCCAAATAGAGCGCGATCAGCACTAAGACATGTATCGATTATCCCACGAGTACGAGCAAGAGTACATGTACTCTTGGTACGAGGGGTACACCGCTAGATATTTTCATGAGTGCGTCAGCACGATTGAAAATATAATGGGTACGGTATGCACAGAGTACGAATGGTATAATCCATTTATCCCATGTACTATCCCAAATAGAGCGTGATCAGCACTAACATCTCCCTTATTTACTCTGTCGCAAGACCCGGGGAATATTCGTGCTCCGAGCGGGGAATATCGCTCTATTGACAGTTGAGTCCTCTTTCCAAGATTCCTTTTGAATTCCTCTCTACCATCTCTGTATGAGAAGAGACCACGGAATTCCGTATATGTATAGCATCCACCGATCGTGCAGTTCGCTGTGATGTCATTGCACAGTGTATGTATATTATGTGCATGTGTGTGTGTGTGTGTGTGTTTGTGTGGTACATGATGCATCCTACAATCCACTGTGACGTCAATGCACACTCCATGATGTGCGCATCCATGGTCCGTGTGCCTTACGTATTTCCACCCCTGAAAATATATGAAAATCAAGTACTATGAGAGTAAGAATTATATGAGCAGAAAGCTAGAAAAATCCTCCGTCTCATCGACCTTTCAATAGAAGAAAGGCATTCACATCTCAATCTGATATCATAGTCGAAAGATTCCAAACCCGAACAAAAAAAAGACTCACCATGACGGGGGCGTCTTTCCGCTTTCGAAACACATCGTGTTCTCCAAGGTCGTCACCTCCCCGTGGCGTGACCCCTTGGTCTTGTTTGAGACGTCTAGACGTAGCCTTGTTTAAAAAGGTCATCGCGGCGTGAACTTTGACCTCGAGGTGAAGTAGTCTCAACCTGCAGTTTCATTATCGACTCCTTCTTGCAGTGTGAAGAAGCTAAAATGGCGTGGACATTTTCTGAGACGTGCAGAGCAGAGAAATGGTATTTATTTTCATGCGATAATGAAGAGTTCTCAATCCGTCGCCTCAGTGCTAGCAAGACAACCAGGGATCTTGACCCGATGATAGCACATCCCAGAAGATTCGATATGTCACCACTCACTGCTGCTGAGTATATTATCTGCAGGGTCACCAGCCTGATCTTGAATGTGAAGAATAGGAAACAGCACCTTCCTAAAATCGTCATCGGTGGTGTGGAGGACTACGGAACTATTAGTGAGACTGATGATGGTGTCATACTGCGAAGGTGGACTGATGGTAGACACTCATTCTACAAGCTTAGTGACATGCGTGACGAACCGTGCTCTCAACACATCATCGACCTCTTCGCTGATGCAACCTATTTGGATTCCAGCGACGTAATGCAACTTGTCAAGGAGGTGAACGAAAAATGAAGTCTCTCGAGTTGATCGTGTGCGTGTACGACGTAGTACCAAGGCCGTTCAACTCCGTGCCGTTGCAACAAGAGTAACGCGGATTCGTGTGCGAGTTGGTACGATCGACATCGGCGACGATGGATTCATCTCCAAATTACCCGAGTCGACTGTTGACACGATGGCGGTGCAAAGGAGGTCGTCGACTGACAGTTCCATTGCTGACTGGGTGGAACCATTGGTGCACATCAGAGCGTCCGACAACTCCACCTCGTACTGCGTGTCACGGAAGAGATCATGGGTGAATCCATCCTCACACGTATTCGAAGAGTAAACTTTGTGGTCTCTCATCCAATACCAGCTTGATGAAATCAGGACAACAAGAACTGAATTGTACTACCTTTCTCCTCCACTCCATTGCGATATTCACTGTTCGTTCCATTATTCTTTGTAATGACATGTATCGTATCTATCAAGAACTGACCTTTCTGACGTGTGTGCGAGCAGGACCATTTTTGAAAAATTGCATGGGGAGGTGGGGTAGGTCACGGAAAAAACTTCATGATAAACACCATATTCAACATTCTACTTTTTATACCCACTCCCATCCGGGGCAAGGTGGCCCAAAAAAGTGAGATTCAAACCCACATGTGCACAACACATATTTTCAATAATACCCCATTTTTTGGGGTCAGGGCACCCCCTGGCACATATTTTTATCCGCAAAAAAACCGGGCCAAAAATAATTTTCACCGCAAAAATGGGGTACTATTAGTACCCCATTTTTCAATAATACCCCATTTTTTGGGACCCGGGCGCCCCCTGGCCCAGAACCCGCTCGTTACCTCCTACTCCGGCTGCTGCAACATCAGGCTGTGGCTTCTTAGGACTGTCCGGCACACGGAACCAGGTAGGGACACGGGTTAGCTGATCCGAAATATTGTCCTCTGAGCGGACCCATTCAACGTCAACTGTAATGCCAGATACAGTGATCAAATCGTCGATGATCTGCAAACGACGCTGAACCAACGTAGCGTGAAGGCCACTCACTTTAACACGACGAATGTTGTTCAGCAACTGCGTCAACCAGCCATGGACTGTACGCGAATCAGTGTGCAAGACCACGTTCTTCACTGGCCAACACAGAGCGAGGTTGAGCGACTTGATGACGGCGTCTAACTCTGCTATGTTGATATGACGCTTATCATCGGAAGGTCTGAGCCAGGACTTGTCTTCGACGATAGCGCCGTTGACTTCCAGAACCGCACCCATGGCCAGGCCAGAAGCATCGCACCAAACGTGCCACACTGTGGTGTCATCACAGGGCACAGACCAGACACCATGCACAGGATCGTCTTGACGGACACGAGACTCGACCTCACGACATGGTTGCACGAGATGAGGCGGTACGAGGTCATCCCATTTCGATGTGTTCTCGCCGACAAGCCGCTTGATGTAGTTGCACAGCGGGCGTAACCAGGAACATACCGGGTAGTGACTAATCACACGGCCACACCAACTGAACACTTGACGACGTGTTGGTGACTCTGGCAACTTGAGGTCAACACCAGCACGACGTTCCCACGTGACTGTATCTTCGACATCAGAAGAGGACAGCTGTAGGCCCAACACACGAGCAGTTGCGAACTGCTCTGGCTCTTTCGTCTCAAGCCCATAGCTGGCGAGTTCATGGCGGACGATGTCGGTCTGGGCAGTAGCGACGTAGAGGTCGTCCACATAGTTGTCAACGTCGGCGTGATCACGGGTAATCCATTGGACAATCATGTCCAAGATCTTTGGCGCGACGTTCAGACCGAATCCCATGCGGGTCATGGTATACAACTCGCCTTTGTACACAACGGTTTGGTACTTGTACAGGGTGGGATGGATCCGAACTTGCAGGTAGGCTT